TAGCTGGCCAGGATGATCGTAATGACGTTCCAAGTCCATTTAAAAATTGCATAATATGATTAACCGAGTCGTGTGTTCATTCCAACGCGGCGGCAAGTAATAAGGCATTTTTTGGCAGTTCATTCATAGTGCTCACCGATATGCACCTTTATAACTGTTGCTCAGGTTACCCCAACCTTGATTTTTTCCATCATTATTATAATTTACGTTTAATATAATTAAAATTCAGTTTCGCTTTATTAGTACTGCGAAGCAAGATTCTTTGACAATCTAGCCGTAAAGATTACCTACTAACGAAACTCTGTAAACCAGCTGTGATATGTTACTTGATATTCATTAAAAGGTTGCTGTACATTCTTAATAACGGTCTTGCTTGTACAACGTGTTATGGCATCTTAAGGGTAGTTTTGTACCATGCACATTGGAATACTTGATGTTTATTACAGTTTTAAAATTCAACGAGATTCCTTTCAGGCGCTGTCCGTATCAAAGTGTTTACTAGTGACTGTTTCTTTCGATACATTAGTTATAAACTTGACTAGCGACAAATTTTTAGCTGAATATTTTAGGTTTTATTTCCTCTACCCTGGTTGCTTCAGTATTTTTTCCATTTTACCAGTGCAAACTGCTTGCTGACTGTGTGGGAACCTTTCAGATTTAAAAAAGTGTTTGTCGTGCACTGTCTGCAAAAGTATAAGACACCATTTTGAACATATAATGTTTTCATTTCTAGTTTAAGACATTAAATAGTTATTTCTTTCGTTGACAACAGTTGCCAACAGTCAAGAAAAATAATGTTTTTCACAGATGTATTAAGCCAGAGAGAACGATAAGAAAAAATTAGATTTGGTTGGCGTTAAGTTGCGATGAACAATCTTCATTCATATTTCAGTTTTAATTTAACTAATCCAATTTTAGACTGCAGTGTGAAAATCAGCAGGTTTATTTTCACGGCTGTGGATTTCAGAATTTAGAATGATTTTTTTGAGCCGGTTTTTCTAAGATTACTATTTTATGGTAAGCGTAAAGAGGAATTTCATAATCGATTGCTTTCATAGTCTTCTTCATCTTAAGAGGATATGTGATTTGCTTCATTTGTCGAATTTCACAAAGTTATCAGATTGCTTTTCTGAGTACCTTTCGCTGTGACCTTCTCCAAAAGCGTTCTTGTGGCGCAATGTCCGAAACGTCGTCTTCCCTATAAAATGACGATCGTTTTCACTCAACCAAGCAGTTTTGTTTCAGCTAATTGTGATGACAGTCTCGCTTTACTTTTCGGCTGTTTTTTTCACTCTTTTGAAATGTATCGTATTTGCGAAAGAAAAAAGTGTATTAAGTTTTTATGCCTCAAGCATATTTTCGCGAAAGTTTCACAAAAGCACCAGCGACTTGGAAGGAGCATCCAACGGGGAGCGCAGTATCACCAAAGTTATTAACAGCAGCTTTAGAAGAGGTTTTCAAGACAATCCTTTAAGAAGATCAACGCTGAGCCGGAAAAAGACTCAGGTCATATTTAACAAATATATTACCCCCCTCCCCCGATGTGTTGAAGTTAACGGAACTTGGGCGTGAAAAAGTACGAAACTACGTTCATGTGCAGCAGCTCTTCTTTGGAAGGGAAAACCAACTATATGAAATCAGTGGAAAAATAAGAACGACATGAAGTACTTTTGGAAGACTGAAAACGTTCCTACTTCTTACTCCTACGAAAATTGACCTTCTGCTTGAAACGGAAAGTTGTGGGAAAGGCGTGGACCTTAAGCTTGAAAACTATTCAGTAACTGCAGAACTACGCAAAGCAACATGAGAAGATGTACGTTCACAATAACAAAGAAAGAGAGGAAGGCGAATGAATGGATATGAGCACAGACAGGAGTCTGCGATGATACCGTCCAAATGAAGAACGCACTGAAGTTGGCAATGGAAAAGAAATATTCTGTAAAGAACCGATCATCGTTGGACCAGAGATATGTTGGAACCATTTCCAAGGGATGGTAAACGGTCGGTAGGAATGCCTCTGGATCCATCTTGAACTCGCGTCGTGATATCGACACCTGAGTAGAATAGCTTCCACCCGCAGAGGTTCAGAATTCCAGAACCCTCGCTCTTCGTTGACAAGAATTTGACTGTGAGAGTTGGTACCTTGCGGCCTCATCAGTTAGCTCCTGCTCTTTCCCTCTGAGGGAGGATATATTCCGGTTTCCGACGGTAAGCTCCCACTGACAGGGTCGTTCCCTGGATCCTTTTCTGACGTATTGTCGTAGCATTGCGTTGCCTGCTTCCTCCATTCAGAACAGGTAGTGACTTTGTTGCTGATTGGTATCTTCCATGGAAATACCATGGCTAAGTTTTACGGAGACTTCGCTACCGTCCTCCTCGTGTCTCATTCGCGATTGGGACTGGCAATGCCAGAGTTAAGTTTTCATGTTTGCGAAGCACTTTTTTTATTAATTTTAATTTCCAGAAAACGTTTTTGTATAAAGTATATATCTTGCAAAAATTTGCCGCAGATGCTTTGGAAGCGAGCATTGCACCTTAAAACAGCTAGGAGGCTGCTAGTGTCGAAGAATATGACATTTTTTTGCAGCAGCCAACTTCGCCTGAATTTTTCTGAGAAGCCAAAGCTTCAGGGATTATTAATTAATAATGCTGATTAATAGGTGCTGATGACAAGAGTGTTTTCGTCCATGGATTGTTATTGTTTTTGCTGTAATTTAAATATTCCCACTACCTCGTAATACAGTTTTGATTACGTGCAATTATCCAGTGCCCCTACATCGCAAGCACTTATTGCGCCGTTACTTAGAATTGTAAATTGTCTAATTAATTCTAGCTACAGTAACGATGGCAAAGAAAGCCAACTTTGACTTTACCCTGTTGGAAAAAGAGTTATATGGAGACGTGGAAACCGACACCGCATTGCTGAATGAACTTTCGGAGCTTATCTATGACAAAACTCCACAGATGTCGAACGCGCAAGAGCTCGCTTCCAAATCGCTCGCCTTCACAGCAAGTAATTCGCTTTGTTTTTCTGTCATATCAGAAGACAGTGCTTTGTTTTAGCAGTGAAACAGGATTTCGCGGTGGACACTGACGACGATGATCCGTCAGTGGAAAATGACAGTTTGTTGTTGGATGAGCTCGATGAACTGATGGGCTCCTCGAAAACAGGCGAGCAAAATTCCACGACTCCTGAAAAAATTGAATCTTCAGAGGAAATACCGAAATCACGACTTGCAGAAAAGCCTGCCCAGTCTACAATGAGTGCAGATGTTAGTCTAATTGTTTCTTGATAGATATATAATATTTTTGTATATTGTGAATAGGATGGTATTTTGATATATTACGTACAAAGAAACCTAAAGAGAAAAGTCTAATACCACTGTAGGACCTACACTTCTCTACGGTTCGAAATGGTTCGGCTCTTGAAACAGACATGTTCAGTAGCTGAACTCTGTTGAAAGGTATATGCTCAAATGAATGTGTGGTGTCAACACGACCACATCCAAAATACCTTCATTCGGGGCACGCTAGATAGAGTCATAGTTTGGAAAGCTATCGCTGTAAGCTCCGTCCATTCAGCTACATGAAGGAAGCATCTGGCAAATACGTAGGAAAAAGGGTGTCGTAGGAGAAAAGGAGAAGTTTGAAGCAAGGGTAATGCAACGTTTTAAGGAACGACGTAAAACTATGTTTAGTTACTGAAAATTTTGCCAAAAATCGAAATTTTGAGTAAATTGACTCTAACGGAGAAGGTACATTAAAAACTTTTTAAGTACGAACAGCACCATCAACTTCATCGTTGGTATTCATGCTTGATCAGTCAGGCAATCAGTTTCGATGGCTGCTTATCCTCTCAGGTCGCGGAGGTAGGCAGGTCACACAGTCTTGTATATCCCCAATCTTGCTCCAACGTATCAGCTTTCTGAGCCTATGTCTAGAGCGGAGTCCGTCGTAGTACTTGCCTCTG